TTTAATATGGCTGAAATTTTAATATGGCAGCCGAGTGGCAGCCTCGTACTGGCCATCGCAGTGTGGGACGACCCCCCCACTAGATGGAGTGACGACCTGTGCAAATGTGCGGGAAGTCGATGGATGCAGGTGGCTCAGGATCGTACTTCGTGGCAGTCTATGGGGGAGGCCTATGTTCAGCAGTGGACTCAAACAGGCTGAAATGATGATGATGATGGCTGAAATTTTAATATGATGTTATTTAAGTATGTAAAAACCCAAAATTAATTTGTAAAACAATAATTCATGTCAACCTTTAACCAGATCGATCCAAAAGTGAAAAGCTGTTGTTGAGGCATGTTGGAAGAGTACAATGTAAAAAGTATAAAATATGATTTTATCTAGTTGGTTGGAGAGCAGTTACCATCACTAGTTGCCGACATTATTATTAAAGGTAAAAAAAATTAGATAAAATGACAGATGAACGCAATCTCTACCGCCAGCCCGTATAACGTTTGGGTGAGTGAGAGAGATAGCATATCTCAAAACTGGTCCTGAAATTCTTGTTTTCCCGACGTTGCTAGCTCTCATACTACTGGGTCAATGATATCAATGAAGGTTCGATTCTCGGCCTATTCCTTTTTCTCGTTCATATTAATGATTTACCCTACTTAGTAGGAAAAAAACATGACATAGTGTTGTTTGCCGATGATACTTCATTAATCTTTAAAATTAAGCGACGTATTGTAACACTTGACGAGGTAAATCATGCTATGTCAGAAATAGTTCATTGGTTTAATGCTAATAATTTACTGTTAAATGGCAATAAAACTAAATGTATAAAATTTTCGACACCTAATGTTAAACACTTGGGTGGAGCCAATGTACTTATAAATGGGGACGAGTTAGGCCTTGTGGATACCACTGTTTTTATAGGAATAACTCTTGATCTAAAGCTTCAATGGGGCCCCCATATATCCAAACTTGCTAGCAGACTAATTTCTGCAGCATATGCTGTAAGGAAAATAAGATATTTGACTGATGTAAATACAGCTAGAATCGTTTATTTTAGTTATTTCCATAGCATAATGTCATACGGTGTTTTGCTATGGGGGCATGCAGCCGACGATGAAACAATATTTATTTTGCAAAAAAGGGCCATAAGAGCAATTTACAATTTTAATTTGAATGCATCTCTGAGAGAGAAATTTAAAGAAATAAATATTTTAACCTTGGCCTCTCAATATATTTATGAAAATGTAATGTATGTACATAGAAACATTAATAATTTTAATAAGAATACTGATGTACATAATGTAAACACTAGGAACAAACACGAGCTTGTAACGCGAGTTACTAGACTCCATAGAGTCAGTAGCTCGTTCATGGGACGGTGTATACGCTTCTACAACAAAATCCCAGTTAATGTGCAAAGCCTATCTATTAACAGGTTTAAGACATTTATTAAAGAAAAACTTTTTAAAAAGGGTTATTATAATATAAATGAATACATTAACGATAATAACCCCTGGGAATGAGATGATCGCTCCTAAGCTATTTCTAAAAAAAAAATATATACTGTATAACTATGTATTTGTTGAGTAAAAAAAAAAAAAATACAAAAAAGAGGATACCTACGGAGTTTCTTTCGCCTGTTTCTTCTCCGTTAGAGGAACCTCATTACGAGACGGTGGTAGATTTAAAAAATGACTATCGATAAATGAAATGTATATTTCTTATTTCGATGAATAAATGATTTGAATTTGAATTATGTATTACCCACCAGGGTGCCAATTCTCGGCTCGGACCGCGCCCCGTTGATCGTTGATCAAATATAGCTGGGGGGCTGGAACGCGCGTGTACTTTGTAGTCAACGTATTTTTCTGAGTAGAAGAGAGAAGTGTTATTCACGAAAAACGCGAGGTGGACTTGTGGCTGTTTAGGGATGTAGCTTTTATACTGAAGATATAAAAGAGCAAGTTTTACTAACACCAGCTGATAAATTTATCTTACACCGCCATCTGTTAGAATCTTATGGCACTCACATGTAGCTCTTTATCATCATCATATTGAGATCAATAATTGAGATAAAAACTACCCTATCTCCCAAGGTGGACCAAATTACAAATGCTTACAAAATATGATAAAAATTGGTTCAGTAGTTTTGGAGTTTATCGCGAGCATACACCGTGACACGAAATGTATATATATATATATATATATATAAGATATGGATGAAATAAAAGTTACCTACATTGAAAACGCTGAATGAATTTTAAATACGTCACTTTATATGCGTAGATTGTTATCACTACAAAGTATTAAATAAAGTCGTTCTGCTGTCTGTCTGTCCCTATGAATGCTTAGATCTTTACAACTATGCAACGGATATTGATGCGGTTTTTTTTTACTAGATAGAGTGATTTAAGAGGAAGGTTTATATATATATATAATACATTGCACCCGTGCGAAGCTGGGGCGGGTCGCTAGTTACTTATAAGGAAAACAAAATATCTTTTCCATATCATATTATGTCGCATTATAGACGCGAAAAATGTTATTAGGTTATTGCATAACCTAATAACATTTTTTGTACATTTTTATGTATACCATAAAAGTTATAATCGACTACCTAAAGATTATTTTGAGTTTTTCTTGTTTCACGCGGCTTCACGCGTACCCTTCGTCAAACACAGGAACGGCTTGGGGTTCCGGTCTGCGCGCCTCATAAATGTCCCTGTGGCTGTGATGTGGACAGCTAGGACATCACGGACTGTCATGCCAAAAAAGTTCAGGCCGCTTCTCGAGACATGTCGCACTTAACGATATCATACGCCGGTCCCTTACCACCGTCAACGTGACAAGTCCACTTGACCCGACTAGTATTGCAAAATGATGGCATGAGACCGGACGATATGACACGGTGGTAGGGCCATGCAGCAGCCTCGGCTGTAGCATGAGTGGGCCGGCTCGTCCGGGTAAGTACCACGACCTCTCAGAAGACCGGCGTAAAGTGGAAGTATAATATTTTCGCGTTTCGTCTAGTGAGTGACGTGGCCGTAGCCCAATTTTCAAAAGGTTGTCAACGCATCTGGAACTCTCGGGTGTAGCAGATGTCCATGGGCACTTAATATATTCACTTAACATCAGGTGAACCACCTGCTCGCTTGCCAACTTTTCACATTAAAAACGTGCTGGTATGGGATACAACCTGTTCAGAACGCTGGCCCCTTCCCATCTACATGGAACCAACATCAGAGCTGTTGCGGCTTGTGAAGCGGCTGAAAATGCTAAAGCTTGCAAATACAGGGCTAGACCCCTGTATTAGTAAGCTTTATAAGCTCCGAATATAATTTTGTCCCATTTGGGGTCGCGATCCTTGGTCCGTGGGGGGCCTTATAGCGCATAAGGCTTTTTAACAAAATAGCAAAAAGGTTAGTCGACATCACAGGAGACCGAAGAGCTGGCAGCTACCTCGGACAAAGAATTAGTCTAGCTATTCAAATGGGGAACGCTGCCAGTATCTTCAGAACCCTGCCTAAAGGGATTCCTTTTAATAATATATTTTAGTTATTATTATATTTTTTAAGGTTTTTACTTTTAGGTTTATTATATTTATGTCATTGTTGTAGCGTTTTAGTTTGGTCCCGACTTAATTCTAAACAAACAAAGCCACATTAACGCAAGGGGCTAGGTTCAAAATGCCTTTCTTAATATTTATTTTTAATATTAATTGTCATATCGCAATGGGATTATAGATGGTAATTTAAGAACATAACCTTCCAAGCAGACAAGGGGGAACCAATTCATTGCTTCCTTACATGCCACAAAGGGGGCCTATCTACATCCAAATCAATTTGCTTTATCGAATATAATTATAGTGGAAAACGAATAAATTCAATTCATGTCCTTTCTGTCAGTTTTCCTCTATGTATATCAAAAATTATGGATCAGAAACATGAATTGTACTTTTGTGTATAGAGTTATCAAATATGAATTTTGGTCAGTCTTAAAGTAATAAGAGTTGATAAATATTTTTCAGCTGTATTTGTATTTTTTCGCCCGCATTTTCCGTAACCGATCAGTAAAGGTGCACAGGGTGCGCCTTAAGAATTTTTACCTCACAAACTTGATTTCGATATAGCTGCGAAAGACTTTGTGCAGGGGAAGTTTTTGTACAGTTTAATATCGACTAGGCTTTATCTGCATATTTCATAATAGAAATTAAGACATTTTTAGGTGTTTTTTGGTGCTTAAAATGAAAATAATAATGATACATTTTGTTAGAGTCACCGGTCTCTTGAAGATTGGCAACCCAATTGTACATCTACGGGCGTGGTACTTGACCACGGGCAACGGTATTCACTAAACATCAGTACAGCACCTTATCTCTTGTACTACTAATTCGGTACTAATCTCTATAAAAAGTGGAGGCGTTATGGAATTTGACAAAATCTTTGTTGGATATAAATGTGTTCCTGAAAATACGCCGTAGCGAAAATATGGACTTGACGGTACAAAAAACTGGATGGGATCCCAGGTTTGTTTTCACTATATACGTCGTTATAGTATATTTTGAATAATCTGTTGTGTGTTGAATAATAAAAGAAATCTAACAAAAAAATTAACCATCAGAATATACACAACTTTTTATTTTTTTTAGCAATAATCGATTAAAACATTGTGACTTTCTCTCTATCAGGTAGTGGGTGATATCAATTTTTAAATAATCCTATAGAATTAAGCGCGACTTTAGCGTCTTACATGTTATTTCAAAATCTATGTGAGTATTGTGAAAATGATTGTACAGTGTACTTTGCACATGCTTTTTACACAGTTTTTTTTTCAGTCTTCTTGGTTAATTTTTCGCTAATATAAGTAACCTATGTAGCTTTTATTTGTAACCTAAGTGTCTCTAATGTAATATGCTCCTGTTTATAAATTACTTTTAGCGAAAATTAATATATACATCTTAACTTAATGTTAAATAATTTAATAATGTATTTTTGTATAAAAAATCACCGTCGATTGGAATCAACTGGGTAGTAGATCCATTTGAATTCATACCCCTTGAGTCCATACTTGGGATCTTTTTCAGTTTCTAGTTTTGGAACATCATCAGATAACAAATCAAGAACTTCTTGAGTGATTTTAGGACGAAATCCATGTTCGTCAGCAACATAATCAATTCTTGTTCTAACTCCGTTCCTACCGGTCACATAGTAATAACCTTGTTTTGCACCGTTGGTATAACCCTCTTCGAAGTGGCCGTGGAACCCTACTGTATAGTTGAATGTGTACAAAAGGTTCGTCATGTCATCTTTGTTTAGACCTTCGGGTAATCCTTCCTTCTCACCAGGGCGTTTGTAGTGAATGTCAGTATTTTTATCAACTATTTGCATCTGAGCTGATATAAGTTGCGGTTTTTTAAGAGTTTGACCATGCTGAGATGATTCAAGTTGATTTGATTGAGTGCCTTTGGCACTGTTCAGATATTGCGGTATTTGTTCCTGTTGCGACTGTTCTCCATAAGATTTCGGGCTTCGATTTGTTTCAAATTGTACATTTTGGTCTTGGTTCTGATTATTTGTTTCTGATTGACGATATACCTGTCCGGGACTAGTTGTTTGTTGATAATTTGATTGGTCTTCGTTCTGTGGATACGACTGACTAACACCCAAACCTGTTCGGTAGCTTTGTTCATTGTTTAAAACATTGTGACCATAGCTTTGTTGTGGATAATTTTTATAGTTTTGCGTTGGTTCAGGGTAATTCTGGGTTTGGCTAAAATTTTCTTGAAGTTGATCCTGCCGTTCTCTGCCAAACTGTTGTGGTTGTATCTGTTGATAACTTTGAAGGTTGGCATTTTGTTGTGGGTAGTTCTGATATTTTTGATCATATTTTGGAGGGAGTTCCGGTTTTTGTGATATTGGCAGTCTCTGCTGGGCGCCATTATTTGGGACATAAGGTGGTATTGTTGTGGTGGTGGTTGTGGTAGTTGTTGTAGTCGTTGTCGTAGGAATACTACAATGTGAACAAGACTTTGCAGGTGATGCAGGGCCTGGTTTTTGTGGTTCTGGAAGCAATGGACTTTCTTGATCAGGGGTTCGCAGTTTTTGAGACGGTTCTGGTGAAGGAGGAAATTCAAGTGAACGTCCTTTTTCTGCGCCTGTCTTGGCAGTGGGATCTGTTTACAAATTGAAAATAAGAACGATATACATTAAAATATTTTTTGTTGTTTGTTTTTGTGGGTTATTCAACAGATAATTATTAGGTTGATATCATTGGAGACCACTATACTGGTTTTAAACATAATTATTCATATAGAAAGAACTGAAATTTACTAAATATTAAACTTACATGGCTTTACACGGATATTCTTCATTGATAATATTTTGAAGCCTCCATTTTCATCTGTAGCGTAAACTGTTACATGATAAACACCATCAGCGGTAATGAAACCAAATTCGCCCATAATTATTCCATTTTCATCTGAAAGGAGAAATGGTAAAACAGAAATAATTAGTTGAAACCTAGAAATGAAAAAAATAAATTTTTGTGTATTTTAGACACAATACTGTTGCGAAACATTCTTGCTTCAGTAAATTTTGGTAGGTACTTTTTTGCTGTAACATCTGTTTTCTTAATATAATATTTAACGTGTATTAACAATTTCTAATCATGAGTAAACGTCCATAAGAACAAGCACAAACTTTTCCATTTATAGTAGTAGTATTTATTAGGGCGATGAAAACATAATTTTGTCTGACGTTGCAAAAAAAACGTGGAATAAATTATATAATAAATTTTTTTTCAGTAAAAACTCTGGTGTAAGTATTTTTCTTCTTTTTCTGTATATTTAAATCTTTACCAAAATTAATGCTTTAATGCAAAAGGTTTAATTTTGTGGCATTTACGAGGATGGAGATTGAAGCCATACGTGATTGTAAGATAAATAGAAACTCGTAAATTGAATAAATTGCGTTGACACGCTTGCGTGTCACAGCTTCAATAGGGATAATACTATTTGCGAATATGTAAAAAAAGGAAGTCTGTTAATCGTGTCGTGAATATATTTTAGCGACGTCTATATAATATCGTTAGTTGAAACTTACAGTGTCAAATAAAATGTGATAAAATCTCTCAATAAAGTTTTATATCCATATACGTTCGAAACTAAACAAAACAAAAATAACTAAAAACCGCCACAGAAATAACTACCGCAAAGAGCAATAAATTCAATGGGAGGACTACATAACTATGTTATGTCGTAAATGTATCCTTGTAAACAGTAAATATCAAAAATACCTTTTTTTTCGTGGCGATGTTGCTCCCCGTCTATGCTGAAGCCAAATTCGTAAGGCCTGTTTTCGTCTGTATATTTGTCAGCGCATCTTCCCTGAAGCACCAGAATCGTTATGCATAGCAATACAAGATTCTTTTGGCAAAACATCTGAAAAGTAAATCAATCAAATAATTACTATCGCAAAATCTTATAAATCATTCAAGTTCGTGCTGTTATTTAAATATATTTTTGTGTATGTGTCATGTATGAATAAAATTAGAATAAATTATGTTCGAACGGCCAAAAATTCTACTGTTTTTAATTTGATGTATCAATTGTCGATAGTATGATATGATTTTCATATTATCCAATCGACAATCATCATAAAACAACAATTTTAAGTTACTAAACGTTGAGAACCCACATTAAATCAGTTTAAATATAACTTGTGACGTTCAACCGGATATTTGATTTGAGTATGATTTGCCAAAACGATTTGCTATAAGTCAATTAAATATTATATCAAGATTTTTATTTTGCTTTAAGGGGCTTCTGTTCTGAACAAATATTTTTTAACTCTGTGATGTATATTTATATTAGATTTCTTCGTGTGGTTCACTCTTGTAGAAAACTTTGGGACTCTTTTCATCTGGTTAAAGAAGAAGCAATCGTTCAACTGGATCACTCCACTCATAGTGAACATCCTAATAGTTTGGCTATCTTGAAATTATGAAAGAAGATACCTTTAATAACGAAGGCGAGTTACTGGATTTAAATGAGAATTTAGCACATTTTATCCTTAATCATGAAAAAACTAATGTTAAAAATATAATTTTAAAGTAACTTTAGAAACAAATGGAGATTAAAATATTTTTTTTAAAAAGACAACCATCATAATAATGCTTGTGAATTGTTTTTATAAATTAATATCAATAATTTTCAAACTTAAATATTGACCTTGGTTAAAAATTATAAAAGTAAGTGGAAACTGGAATACGAATTGATTATAAATGAATATTCTATCCCAGAGGTAAAATCGAAAAACTTTATAATTACATAGTACTTATTTATTTACATACTATTTTATGATTTGTAATGGGCTGTGGCTAAGTAGGGAATAAATCTTTTTGCATTGATATCTATTTTTTTTCTATAAAGTCCATTAAATATTAATCAGAATTTATTAAAATGAAGGCAAGTAAAACATGTGGCGATATTAAACTAGTTGCTGTTAATTTCGTTATTAATAATTTGATTCGTAATCTTCAATGTATCAGGTATTTTTGTGTGAAATCTACAGCCAATAATTAAAAAATGAAAAAAAAAAAAAAAAAAAAAAAACTAACCGAGAACAATTTAGTTCGGTTATTTCAGGCGATTGTTTTAAGAACAATATTATTGTGGGCGTGGATATGTTAACAACTATTTGAAAACGAAATAAAGTTTACATTATAACAGACTACAAAGTCTTTAGTTTCGCCTTAAAATTTATATTCAAGGCTCATAGCAGATAGTATGGATTCAAAAAACGTTCTAACATACGACTTTTCAATACAGTGGAATCCGATGTTTACTGTCAATACTTTAATCATTGTAAACACTTGAACTCAAAAATCTGAAAAATGATTAAAATTATAGCATGTACTTTAGGTTAAGTATTCGAAATAATTAATTCAATTACCTCCTCATCCAATCCGAATTTAATTTGGAAATGACTAAAACCTTTTATACTATTGGCAATATACGCATTGAAACGAAAATGGAAAAAAATTACCTACTTTTCTAATAATTAATTTTTATTTAAATATACAATAAAAGGTAAGTAGTAAACGCAAAAGTAAAGAGTAAATGCACAAACAAGTTATTAAGTAATTAGTATTGTTTTATATACGTAAAAATTTAATGCCAGTGTTTATTCACTTACCGTACGGTATTATTTATTTACGGTTGCATGAAGGTGTGGTTAGAGTGGCTTATTGCGCAAGCGTTCGCACGAGACTGTGCCGATTCTTTGCTTCACGTAATTTATTAATACGTCCAAAACATGACTTCATAGACGAGATGATTTCAAACAGAAGGGTCACCAGAAAATTAAAGTAGTGAGGTAGTAATAAATTTTTTTATTCTGTATTTTATGGTCGTTCATAGCGTATTTGAGAGCATCTGCTTTTAGATGTTAAAGTAATTGATTCAGGTATTAATCTCTTTGAATTATTAATAGGCCTATGCTCATTTCTTAATTTAATGTATTTTTTTACTGCTTGGGATATGTCTCGGAGAGGCAATAATTGTTTATGCCTACTTTCAGTTCTTATTTGTGTGTTGGACATTTCAGTTAGATGCCACAATCATGTTTACTTAGTCTCGGCCAGTTTTTTTACATGCAGTTGAAACAAATGTTTTGTTTACTTCTAAATATGTAATTAGAACTATTGTTAAAATAACTAAACTCAAGGAACTCGTTTAAAAGTGGAAGGTCATTACAAAATTTTAAAATCACCGTAAGCTAAGTTAGTGATAAAGTTTTTTCTAGTGCTAATACTGTGTTTTGCTCGTAGCTTCTCAGCGATCGATATCGATTTTGGGATTTACATAAATAATGCAAACTGCAATGTTTCCTCCACAGGAATAGTAGAAGAGTTTCTTCATTCCTAGCCTTGGTATCCAATACCAATTTCGTTCCAATACCATCTAAAATAGTGCTTATAAGTTATTGTGTTCCCATTTTATTATTTCTATGTTTCGATATTTACAATGATACATTATAGCCAGTTAAATTTAGTCAAAATGTATGAAAGATTTAAATCACAATAGAGCAAATGCTCGCAAATATTTTTTTCCAAACACTAAAGATGTTTATATAAGTCGTAACTAATTAGATGTGAGATATGACCAATAGTAAAACATTATCTTTTGCTCTCAAGTTTCGAATGTTATATTCCTTGATCATCGCGAAAAGTAAATAACAATATTATATTTTTTTAGATTTTACCTTTTATTGGTAACGCCTTAAAATACAGCTATAAGATTCAATTTACTGAGTGTAATGAACATAATACATATATTTGCTAAAAACAGCCACTTCATCGCCTTAGACGTAAACATCACATTTTGTTTACTCTACCGGCCCGGGATAAAAGTATTTATGCTTTTGCGTGATGTACCGGACTCGTACTCTCAATATATGGCAACGCGCCTGTACTAAGGAGTCGAGCTCATGTCAGGCGAACCGTTTGCTCTGCTGTCGACTCTTTGAAAAAAAAAGTCACGGCAATTTTTGCCATTGAACAATCAGACCTTTGTTCCAGGTTCCCGCACTCATGATTCCCAGTGCTGATTTACCATGTGATCGTTGGGGATGAGGCATGCATATCAGAGAAAAAAGGTTGAAAAAAGGAGAAAATGTGTAGGTTGTTGCTTTAGTCTGTTTTAAATGATAGGGAAATGTCTTGTAAATGTTATAAATTGTTGTATTAAGAAGATTTAAAAATTCTTAAGGTAAATTTATGTAGAAAACGTTAAAGAACTATTTAAAGAAAAATGATTTGTTCATAAATGCACGTATCTCAAAAAAATCTTTCAATCAAAAGTCAAGATTTTCTGGGATTTTAAATTAAACGATAAAAACAGGAAATTTATTTATGATTATAGGCTTTAGTGCCGTTTTACAATCGTTCCAAAAGCATACATTTGTTATCTTTAAATATAATCGACAAATAAAATAATAATTGACTATTTTATCATCGTATTATAACTTAATAAGTATTAATAAACATACGGAAGTGTGCGCCAGCGTCATTTCTGTTCGATGTACCGATTTCCGCAGGCCGCATCTGTTCTTGGCAATTCAATCGATCGTTTTACACTAACTAATTGACAAAGGTCAGCCTGGAGTGTTGTGTATTTGTTTAACAATTACCGCGACAATCAAGGTTGAGGATTTAAGTAAAAATAAATTAGGAGTGATTTACTGTTTACATTGCCCAAAAACATGTGTATTATATGAAATAGATTCTCGTCAAGTATGTACTTGTATAATTGCTAATAAAGAGCTTTTAAATTTATTGACATGTGTCATTGACTTAATTCTGTTAGAGAAGTCCGTTGAGAGGATGCTGGGTGTGGTGAAATGATGCGTCATTGCCTATGCATGTATTAGGCAATTGCTTATGACCACGAAGACATAGCGTTAAGAATCTGCAAAAGAACCTGAATAAAAAAAAATGAAACTATCTTTCTATTTTCCTTGACAACTAGAAATTCATTTATGTCCTGATAATCTAATTATTAAAGTAAAATTACTTTCTGTGAAAGTTCAATGATATACTTTACTTTTGCTGATATTCAGTAACAGCATTTTAGTGAAACTATGATATATTTAACATTAACATAATATGTTGTAGCAGCTACATACTGAACATTGTGTTATATCATAATCTTAATAAAGCTTCTTCTTAGCCTTTGGTTATATGTTGAGCATGTAATTGCAATATTTTGTTTAATTGCGCATAAAAAAACAATTGACACATAAATAGGAAAATCGTTATGATGCTTTTATATAAACTTAGGAATAAGTTTTGAAATTTAATGAATTGTTTTAAACAAATTAACTTGTTTGAGATATTCGATACGTTCAAAAATAATCGGTGTTATAATTAAAACGAATTTAACTTTTAAGTGTTTATTCGGCTGTTATTAATGAAAATTCATATACATGAAAAGTATTTATTACGGCTGGAGTATTTTCTGTTCAGAATATAAACTATACATATGTCCACCCTTCATAACAAAACTGATCTTTCATAAAACGATGAATTAATCTCTTTAGGCTTATAAATTACTCAAACGTTTACGTATGTGTTAGATCCTTCTGCCAAGGACTCATATAATGTAGTTACAGTTCTGATGGATATCGAAATCACATAGATAAATACTAGCGCGTCGCTTGCAACCGCGGCTTGAATTATTTAATTTGTTTGCTTATATTAAATCGAGATGTGCAGGAATCGATGAGATTCAGGAACTGGGAGTAGGTCACGATTTATGCCGATGTCATCATGTTCGTTCGTTATTTATAGTGCGATTGGATAATTCAATGGAATCTGTTTGAATATCATCCTTTTAAAAGCTATTTAATGTGGTGTCGTAAAGGTTGGTATTAAAACTCA